GTCAAAGGGTCCGTATTTTGTGAGATTAGTTATGTGTGTTGTTTAATGTCTGGTGTTTTTTAGGATCAGTTAAGCCATTCAACGCCCTGTACTCATGCGAACGGTGCGACACTATGTGGACAGTGGGCGCCCACAGCCCCAAGTACTCGGCGGTCGACCAGTGCCTCCGTTGCCGTCACGACTATCGGCCCGTATGTGTGGTATGTCTTCCAGTGTTTCATAAATGTCTTAAGTTTTATCACTCATTGCTTATTATGTCTGTTGTTTTCGCATAGATTGATACCAAAGGTACAGCACATCCCTGTGCAGCGCCAACACTCTATGCGCACTTCCCGTCCATCAGTATTGACCACTAATTATCTGTGCATTTGCTGTCTCGCAATAGGGTTTAAGCCGGAGTTCTCGACTTCCTATTACGGAGAGTATCAGTGCTCGAGAGGCCGGTGCGGACGGGCCTGGAGTTCGCACCAGTCATGGCTCGGCTATCAGCGCCAGTGTCCGGATTGCGCCAAATGGACATACCCCTGGCTTCTGGTATCAATGGTCACCCCTTCTATAACCCTTCCCATCCCTTTATAGTGCACTTTTAATTGAATTTATCATGTGTTTTGTAGCGAACACACGAGTGGGTGGGCCCGGACTCCCTGTCCACTGGCAATGGCATCAAACGTAAGGCCAGGCGTTCGGTCGGCGAACATCGATCTGGCTTTTGGGCCCGACTTTGGCTTATAGTGGCAGTGGTTTTGGTGTTGGCGGCCGTCGCAGCCGTTGTGGTGGCCACCGGTGCTTACGATCGACTCGTTCCGTATGTGGCGCCAGTGGTGAAGGATCTGATGGCCAAAGTGGACAACATTTACGCTAATTGGGGATCGGATTAGAAATTGAATGGCCAGTCGTTGTCCGGGCGTTCACTTTCCCGATGGCTTTACTTTGCATTAACTAAATGATTGTTTTTTGAAGTTTTCATAACTTTTTTTGTAATAATTATCTTTTATTCAGTAAATTGCATGTAATTCTTGTAATACGCTTTTAATTAGAGTTTGAGTTGTAGTTTTATTTAGACTTATAATTAATTTTTTTTGTTTTATAAATCAAATAATCGTTTTCTAAACTATTATTCACTAATTATTATTACACTGTTTTGATGTAATGTTTTATCTCATTATTTCTATTACTTTGAATTAAAACTAATTTTTTCGCAATTAATAGTTTAATCTGATTTTTGTGGTTATTTATTAGATTTTATTTAACGATTTATTGCTAATTAAAGTTTAAAATGCTAAGTATTTAACATAAAATTAAATCTACATTTAAAATATCAAAAATAATAATAATTTTAAAGTTTAATAACTGATATATTGTGTATTAAATGTTTTTGATTTGCATTTAAGTTTTTGAATTATTTTTTGTTGATTTTATCAATGATTGAAAGGGTTGGTCAAAAACGGGTCGGTTTTTACTGTTGGAAACTGTTTATCATAAATATGTTTAGAGGTTTTAAAGTAAGTTTTGAACACAAACTTAAAACTTAATTAAAAGTTACATTAATTACAACACAAAAACACTTGTAATTTTCATGTCATTTCACTGATCGCTGTTTTATTGCTAAGATCTGTTAAATAAATAGACAATTAAATGGTTAATTAGTTATAAATCTAATTAAATGATCAATAAATCAATGAAATAAACAGCAATTGAGAGGAAAATACTTTTTTTAATCAACAAATTTTCATTCAAATCAAAGAAATAGTGTTTTAATTACAAACAAAAATCAATTTACGGCCGGAATAATGTGTGGCAACCGGTAGTTGGGAATGACTCGATGGACAACATCCAAGGAATAAGTGACCCAATAGTTGTACCGCCTTCTTCTTGTCCTCTTAGAGCCAATAATTGTTTGAAATAAACGTCACAATTGTTTGCAAATGTTTTGCGGCTGTCTTTATGCGTCAATACAAACGGGTGGCCGACGTCTGGGATCCGCCACTTCGGAGGAGCGCCAACTTTTCTGTAGGCTTTCCAGCCCTTCCTCAGTGTAATCGCATCGACGAATTGCCTTTCAGTGAGTCTGTGTCGGCCCCCAACTGTTGTCCTCACAAATCCTCCCCTTTGTGTCACTTTAAGCGCCAATTCGGCCGCAAACTGGTCCACCAATGCCTGTCCGGCGCCCGACTTCTTGACAGATACCAATCTTTTGAATGCCTTGTCTTCGGCCGACAGCAGACGTTGGTATTGGCGGACACTTCGCCGTCCGATACCAGTATTGAGTTCGTCGTGCACTTGGACTACAGGTGTCCACCATTTCATAAACTCAGCCATTTTGATCTCGTGAAGGATAGCGTTATCTATGAGCGCGTACTCCGTGTCGGGCGGCACCGCATCTCCGAAGAAATGATCTTCTAGTCGGGCCTTACGCTCGTCGGACTCGCCCTTCACAGCACGGGCTCTATCGATGCGATCGTATACACGACTGGAGTTCTGATTCTCGGCCTTACACTTAACGTCCATTGATTTGACTGTCAATACGTCTTCCCGACGACACTCAACCACAAAGACATTGTTTGCATAATTCATGTCAAACAAAAGAGAGGCACCGGAGCTCACAAACACTATATTCACTTCAAATTCAATTGATTTGTATTTGTTTTTGATTTGAATTTTGAATTCAACTGTTTTTTCAATTGATTTAATGATAACTGAAATTTGGTTTTGAAATGAATGTGAGATTTAATTATTTGAATTCAGTTTATATACAAAAATAATTACACATTAGGAACGCGCGATTAAAACACATTACAAATAATGAAAAATAAATGATTTAATTCACGTTAAATAATAGGCGAGTAATTGTAATAACGGTTAAAATGCATAGAAATTAATACATAGTTAAAACAATTAAATGAAAAATTTACTGTATATTATGTTATAACGTTATACGCAATACCTGTCCACTAAAAAAAGCCCAAAACACCGTAAATACAATATTTTTCGGTACAAATACAGTAAAAATCCTGTTATAAAAATTGTTAATTTAAATCTCTAAACTAAAATAATGTATATTTTCCTAGATGTAAATGCTTTTGCATGATTATTTCTTAAAATAATAATTTTACGGTACTATTAATTAGTCTTATTTGTAGTTAAAACTATTTTTGTGTCAATTAATAGTTTTATTTGATTTTGTGTTAATTTACAAATTCATTGTTTAATGCATTAAAATGTAATTAACAATTGAATCAACATTTAACATATGAAAAGTTTTGTCTCAAATTGTATTAAATTTAAATTTACTCTCAATTAAAATAAATTGCATTATAAAATATCATAACAAATACGATAAATACAAACTACTGTCGTATTTCATGAGATTTATCACATTTAGCTAAAATATTTTACAAAACTAATGTCTCAAAAACATGGCATAAATGTATTAAAATTACATTTAATTTTACATTAATGCAAGAAAACAATCTACATTTGCCTTGTCTGTATGTAAATGAGATACAATGAATATTTATTGTATTTATGTTCAACCCTTCACCCCCGATCAGTTCAAATTAATGAGCCTACAGTTGAGTTCCCGCAAACTTTTCCAAAACATTTTTTAAGCCACAAATTAATTGACGATTAAGTGATTGATTTGATTGTCACTCAAAGCCAAACGATTACCACTACATCAACGGGTTGGGGCCGGCGGTCGCGATCGGCCCCAACCGAGCAGTTTGGGTGCGACCACAGTATAGACACTCATATCGAGCCGGTGTTTGTAATAGGAGTTCGTAAAAGTCTGTCCGTCCGGTGCCTGCGGTCACACATATTGTATAATTAAATGTGTCTTTGATTATACCCTTAACACTAACCTAAACCCCGGGTATTAACAGTAATGGTTTGGGACCCGAACTGAACTTCTCGTACCACAAGTGGTGGCCATTCAGTGATATCTTGTCGGCGACGGCGGCGACAGTGCCTTCGGCTGCGGATATAATTTATTGGTCGAGTGTTTGGTCACTACAATGAGTGGTAAATGTTTGTACGTCTGTAGACTAGTATCGTTAGTTTTGTTTTGCAAAACCAATACTGAGATTTCAATCACTATTACATGTCGACTATAAAAAAGTATTGTAATAAGTTATAATAACGGACTCAAACTTGAAATATAGGATGGTTGCCTGATTTATAAATTTATTGTAATTTTAGTACA